ATTATTTTGCGCCGGAAGGCCTTTTTCGACGCGCATCAAACCGGCGGAAATATTTCCGTCGGAAATCCGTCGGAAATTAGCATTTCCGACGGATTTTGGACAATTTTCCGGCGAAAATGTCTGCCGGAAAATGAAGTTTTTCCTGTAGTGTCTCCAATGGACCCTGAGAGTCATGGTTGGCAGTGCAAGAATAAGTAACTAGAAGATAGATCCAATCAAACTACTAACCTCTTTGGCCAAGTGAGCAAGATACAAAGCTGATAGGGGCGATTGTTCGGCCGGCTTGACGACCATGGTGCATCCGGAAGCAAGCGCCGCAGCAACCTTAGCAGCGAAAAGCACAGTTGGGAAGTTCCAAGGAATGATGTGGCCAACCACACCAACTGGCTCCTTGAGAGTGTAAGCCTGGAACTCACCTGTACACTTGAGGGTCTCACCATGAATTTTATCTGCAGCACCAGCATAATACCTGAAACAATTGGCTGCAAATGGGATGTCAAAGGCTCTTGTAATGTGCAGTAGCTTTCCTGCATCAATGGAGTCGAGCATGGCGAGCTCTTCTCCATGTTGGTCGATCAAATCGGCCAGCTTGAACAATATTCTTCCTCTTTCCTGTCATAAACAGCTAGATCTTTACGAACAGTTCATGTAATTAGCTTGAATTCAGCTTATCCAACGCATAAATATGTTGAAATTTGTAGAACAATCTTACAAAGCCAGACATGCGAGGCCATTTGCCATGGTCAAAGGCTTCTCTTGAAGCCTTAACGGCTATGTCAACGTCTTCCTTGTCACCTTCTGCTACTTGTGTTGCTACTTCTCCTGTTCTAGGATCTATTGTTTCAAATTTCTTACCTGTATGAAGTAGTTTTTCACATGAATTAGTTATATTTTTATAATAAAATATAATAGGAAAGAATTTTTAATTTTCAAGCACACCCTAAAGAGTAGGGGTGTAAGCGAGTCAGACTGTGTTTTGTGAGTCAGCTTGTGGTTTGGTAAATGGATTGTGAACAAAGCTCCATGAGCTAATGATGTGAAACCAACATGAGCATGAGCTCATTTAAGAAATTTTAAGAATAGTTGACAATGAATTGCCAATTAATAACTTATTGAAATAACAAGCAAGTTCATCAAAGAATCTTAGTTTTCAACTAGCTTAGGCGAGGAAGTACATGTAGATTAGCCAAAACTCCTAGGTAACCAAAGATAGTAGCAATACCAAAAGCTATTAATCAACAATCCGCAACTTAATAAAGAGAGTTTTCACCTTGGGGATGGATCACTCAACTACACTAGGCTTAGTGGAAAAAGGTCTTCAGCACACCCAACGATGCCACGAGGACGGTAGCAACATCAATGGCCTTGATCCACGGAAAGGTCGGTGGTGGCGGAGATGGCGGGGATGGATGACCTTGGAGGATCCAATCGTAGTCTTGAAATTGATTGTCTATGACATCCACGAGAGTATGCAAGATGCGATTTAGATAGTCCTCAATAGTGTCGTCAAATCCAAATCCAACGTCGAAGAACTGCGAACGGGTGATGTGAATGTCTCCGTAGATGTCGTACACGAATCCGCTATCAAGCTCAGGATCCGCCATGCGTCATTTACGAGGAGAGGGGCGGCGTAGTCTTCTTCTTCTTTGACTTCACAGATCACAAGGAGAAGCAAGATGAGGGGGCGGCGGGAGCAGGAGGAAGAGGAGCCGGCGGTTTCCAAGGGAGATCCAATGGCAATAGGTTTAATCCCAAAATCTGAAATTAATTTCAGATTTTAGTGGATTTAGAGGGAAATCCAAATTGAAACTAATTCAAATTTGAGGGGAGTTAAGGGGGAATTAATGGCAAATAATGGGGCCATTAAGAGGGGGAGGCCGGCGGGTTCTCAGGAGTGGCCGGCGGCGGGCTTCCAAGGGGGCGGCGGCAACAAGAGTTTTGGAAGGGATTTTCTTATGGTGGAGGGGAAGAAGATGGAAGAAAACACGAACGAGAAGATACAATAACTTAACCACGAGCCGCGGACTCTTCCAACGACTGGTGGGCCTTGCGATTTGCTCCCCTTGAGCTCTCTCTCTTCTCCAGCTCTCATGCAAGAAGAAGTAGAAGAAAACCAAAATTTTTTTTCATTCAAATATTCATTAGCTATTACAAGAGAAAAGACCCATATATATAGGTCTCAAACATACAAGAAGAAATAAAGACTAAATTGCCCTCAGGGCCCCAACATGACTCAACTCAACATAAGGGTACAATAGGAAAACATAAAAATAAAATGCATAAACAACTAGAAATATAAGCTCTGAATCGTGGCCATCGATCTGCGATGCTTCCGGCGATACACATATTTGAACCTTGGATCGATGTACTCATCAGCTAATGAGCCTGATTTGAACTAACCTCAACTCATTAGAAAAGTACTAATATAAAATATATTTGAATTCAGTACTTATTGTATAAAACTATTAAATTTTTTAAAAAATAATATCATCTTATCATTTCAAGCATTTTTTTTAATTATTTATCTCTTTTGTTATAAAAGAACCAGCTTGAATTCGTAGAATTAAGCTTAAACTCGATTAAGTAATCAAGTTCAAGCACGTGCTAGAGTTGACTCGAGCTTGATTTGACTTGTTTACACCTCTACAAGAGAGAGAGAGAGAGAGAGAGAGAGAGAGAGAGAGAGAGAGAGAGAGAGAGAGATACCAGAGACAGAATCAATGAACTGGCCATTGATGAAGAGCTTAGTGAACTTGATTTCAGGAGTCTTGAGCTTGGAAACTCCATTACTCTCAGTAGCCATGAAAATAGAGAGATTTATAGTTATTAAAACAAACCTTCTAATTCTAATTATTTCCTCTCTTCCTCTGTGTTCTTCTCCTCTTCAGTACTGCCGATGGCTTTTATAAGGCAAGCACAAGCTTTTGTTATTCAATTTTATAATATTTTACGACAAAAATGGTTATTGTAAATGATAATTAATGCGCCAATTTGGCTCAAGATAGAAAATGACATATTAATATTTCACTGGCGATTATTTTCTTTTCAAAATATAAAATAACATAGTGGAAATTAAAAATATTTATTTATTTTTATGTGACAAAACAAAAGGAAACGAATTTACATGTTTGATTTTTATTCTATGATAAGATTCGTATTGTGATGATTGAATAAGAAACAAATTGATTTGTTTGTTTGTTTGTTGTTTTAATCCTGATATATCATCAAAAAAATAATCTTGATCGGGAACAAATCTCGAAGTAAAATCAAGTTGGAAACTTCAAAAATTAAATCAGAAACCATCTGAACTTTGATTTTCAGCAAACTCATAGTCGAATTGAACGTCTCGAAAATATGAACCTAAGGACACTAAATTCGACTCAATCTGAGCCAAAATAGGTCCAAATTAAAGACCCGAAGCACTTTTGGAAGGTTTAAACTATAAGTTGGATTACCAAACGGTTCCCAAACGTGACATGCTTATAGTCGAATTGAGTGGCTCGACGAGATGAATCAAATGAATCCAATATCATCAAATTCTGATATCATTAAGACATTTAAATTCCCAATAAATGTCCCATGATCAAGGGATTCAACATGGGTTATCCATTCAAAACACTCCTAATTTACCCTTTATCTTCCTCCTATTTACTGGTCATGCCGGAAGAAAATGGGCCAAGGAAGAATAGAAGGAAGAGTTATCTTGCGACCAGACTCCTCCTCAACTATCGTCGTACTTCCGCCCGTCGCCGGATTTCTACCCGATGTCGGACTTCGGCCTGTTGCCGAAATTCTACTTGATGCAAGACTTTGGCCCGGCCACCGACCGTCTTTGGACTTCCGCCCGTCGCTGGAATTCTACCAAACGTTAAACTTTTGCCTGTCCCCGGACTTTCGTCGGACTTATACCCGACATTGGACTTCCGCCCGTCGCCGGATTTCTACCCGACACCAGACTTCCCCATGTTGCCGGATTTCTACCCGACGTTGGACTTTTGCCCGTCGCCAAACTTCTGCCAATCACCAAACTTTCGTTGGACTTTCACCCGACATCGGACTTCTACCTGTCACCGGATTTCTACCCGACATCGGTCTTTCGCCCGTTGCCAGACTTTCGCCTGTCGTCGGACCTTCGTTGGACTTCCACCCAACGCCAGACTTCCACCCGTCACTGGATTTCTACCCATCGTCGGACTTGTACCCGTTGCCAAAATTCTGCCCATCGTCGAACTTTCGTTAGACTTCTACCCAACGTTGTACTTCCATCCTTTGCCAGACAATGTTCTTTTCTTACCACTGTCACCCGTCAACTGCGGTCCCTCCGACCACCATCACCAGACTATGACCTTTCTGACTTCCGTCGCCCGCCAACTATGATCCTGCCGACCAAACAAACATATCAATACTGATTCTTCCAATTTCCACCATGTAATGCATTCTATATTATATATATCTGTTACATCAAGTCAACGCCTTCCCTCCAATGAAGGGCCTCATTTATAATCAACTGTAAATACTAGTGGATTCATTCAAACTGGGCTAGGCCCCGTGGTTTTTCCCTTTTCAGGGTTTTTCACATAATAATCTTGGTGTCTCTTATAAATATTGCACCCTCTCTTTTCTATTTGTATGTGTGCTGAATCTTCGTACAAAACTAAGACATTAAACTATATGTTTCTCTACCACCACGAATATTCTAGGATGCAACAAATCCAGAGTCTGTTTGGGACAGTTTTTTCATTGCTTTGCTTTTCAGACAGCAACCATAATTTCATTTGACTATTGTTTTCTCTTTCTTTTTCATTTTAAAGCTATTTTTCACAACTGGAGCATTTAAGTTATTTTTCTCATAGCAGCTTTCTAAAACGTGGCAACCATCCCAAACAGACACTTATTGAATCTTCATGATAAGGTTTGTTTGGGACAACTTTCTCACTGCTTTGCTTCATATAACTAAATTCTATTTGGCTACTTTGTTCTTGATGCTTTCTCGTCATTTTTTAGAATTTTTTGTGGTGGGAAATCGCTTTTTACAATCAAAATTGTTAATATGTGGTGTCTTCAAAAAGTAGCTATTTGATTATTAGAAAAAGAATATATTTATCATATTTACAACAACTTTTTAAAAAATTATTTTTCCCACACAATCAGCTTTATAAAATGCTGCCGACCCAAAAAAATCGATAATATATCATATTCAACAGGCCAAATGCAGCTACTCAATTAATTTTTTTAATATTATTATAGCAATTTGAAGGCCGGCTAACTTTGGCAATTACAATATCAAAATTTGATTTTTTTTTTTTTTTTTTGAAGTGAGAAATAGTATCAAAATTGTCAACTCAGGAGTCCTAAGATTGAATGTTTATAAGATAAGGCTTCATTTGGGACGTTTTTCTTATTGCTTCTTCAAAGCTGTTTTAAGAAGCAGTAAAAAAGCCGTCGCAAACAAAGCCTAAATACAATATAATATATGTGAGGATAATTAATTACCTGATTAAAGAAAACAGCCTGCCAAGCAGTCTGGACAGCCATGTCTATATCTGCATCACTGAAGATAATTAATGGAGATTTTCCTCCTAATTCTAATGAAACAATCTTTAAATTGCTTGCTGCTGCTGCTCCCATAACTAATTTCCCTACTTCTGTTGATCCTGTGAAGCTCACCTTAAGGAAATTAATTACAGAATTATACATTCAATTTGTATAAAATTCTTTAATTTTGAATGAGAATTAGGATAGAAAAAAGATTTATATTACAGCATCAACATCCATGTGAGAAGCTATGGCAGCTCCAGCAGTTGGGCCATAGCCAGTGATAACATTGATAACTCCATCAGGAATACCAGCCTACAATAACAAAACAGAATTCTAGTTATTGTCTGATTTTTTTTTTCCTGAAAGAAAAGAGTCTACAATGCCTGCATGAGCTTTCAAAACTCCTTACAACTGCAGAGGTCTCCAATTAGGGGTCTTAATTTTGACACGACCCGAAAATCCGACTTGAATCCGACCCGACGGACCCGAAATAGGTCGGGTTCGGGTTCAACAATTCGACTTGTTCCAAATATCGGGTCGGTTTCAGGTTGACACTTTGACCCTAAATTGATGCAATTAAAAAGTAGGGACTACCAAGATTGCATATAAACTTGACGTATTCCTTTCAAAACAACTTTAACAAACACAAATTTAACTAAAATGAAACAAAAAGACACCTTACAACTTTTCTATTAGAACATAAAAACACAATACGACTTTTAAACTCGAAATAAAAGACATAACACGATGCAATGACACCCTAAAAATACGACTCAAGACACCTTGCAACTTACAAAATTTTAAAGAGAAGAAAGATACAAATGGGGTGGACACTTGCAGAGAGAAGAAATAGATAAGAAATCCGAAACGAAGTCAAAGAGAGGAGAAGAAGAAGTGGATAAAGCTCATAAGCTATCCAAGAAAAACCCTCATGTTTTAGTTCCAAAAATCATCACCAAAATATCTTTTTAAATCCTCAAATCAGCCTCCGTTATATAAGAGAAGAAAGGGAGCCAAACAGCCACTCAACTACCCCAATGACCCAATCAGAAAAGAGAAAAAAAGTCAGCAATTACTCTCATTGGGAGCTCAATAGCCAAAAGAAACCAGCCATAAATATATGCAGGAACCGAACAATTAGCCATTGAGTCGAACAGGTAATCTACGGGCAAAGCAAGGGAATCGAACATGTATAGCAAGGGCGGGCCAAGCACAACCATCAAATAAAAAGCGTCAAGAGGGAAGGAATCGGGCAGGCAGAGGAAACGAAGGGCCAAAACAGGGGGGATGGACCCGGCCATCAAGAACCAATAGCTAACACATCAACCGCTCCCCCCCCACCCAAATTGACCCGAAAACCCGTTTTTGACCCGAAAATTCGAGATTGACCTGTTTTGACCCGAAAAGCTGAGATAACCCCTTTTTTGACCTGGAAACTAGCAATTTTTTTTGTTGGCCCAAGGTCATTCGAGTCTTGTAGGGTTGACCCGAACCCGAAGCGGGTCGGGTTCGGGTCCGAAAAACTGACCCGTTTACAAAAACGGGTCGGATTCGGGTTGACCCGAATAGTGTGGAGTCAGTTCTGGGATCGACCCCACCCGACACGTGACCCAAAATTGACACCCTTATCTCCAATGGACCCTGAGAGTCATGGTTGGCAGTGCAAGAATAAGTAATTAGAAGATAGATCCAATCAAACTACTCACCTCTTTGGCCAAGTGAGCAAGATACAAAGCTGATAGCGGCGATTGTTCGGCCGGCTTGACGACCATGGTGCATCCGGAAGCAAGCGCCGCAGCGACCTTAGCGGCGAAAAGCACAGTTGGGAAGTTCCAAGGAATGATGTGGCCAACCACACCAACTGGCTCCTTGAGAGTATAAGCCTGGAACTCACCTGCACACTTGAGTGTCTCACCATGAATTTTATCAGCAGCACCACCATAATACCTGAAACAATTGGCTGCAAATGGGATGTCAAAGGCTCTTGTAATGTGCAGTAGCTTTCCGGCATCAATGGAGTCAAGCATGGCGATCTCTTCTCCATGTTGGTCGATCAAATCGGCCAACTTGAACAATATTCTTCCCCTTTCCTGTCATTAGTGGCTCGATCTTTACGAACAGTTCATGTAATTAGCTTGAATTGAGCTTATCCAACGCATAAATATGTTAAAATTTGCAAAACAATCTTACAAAGCCAGAAATGCGAGGCCATTTGCCATGGTCAAAGGCTTCCCTTGCAGCCTTAACGGCTATGTCAACGTCTTCCTTGTCACCTTCTGCTACTTGTGTTACCATTTCTCCTGTTCTAGGATCTATTGTTTCAAATTTCTTTCCTGTATGAAATTAATTATATTTTTATAAGAAAATATGATAGGAAAGAATTTTTATTTTTCAAGTACATACTAAAGAGTAGGGGTGTAAGCGAGTCAGACTGTTTTGTGAGCCACTTCATGCTCAGGTCGATAAATGGCTTGTGAACCAAGATCCATGAGCTGATGAGTCAGATTTGAGCTAACCTCAACTCGTTAGCTCGCAAGCAGATTCATTTAAAAAATACAAATATAAATTATATTTGAATTCAGTAGTTATAGTATAAAACTATTAAAAATTTTAAAAATCATCTCATCTTATCATTTGAAGCAAGCTTTAACTCGATTAAGTAATCAAGCTCAAGCTTGTGCTAGAGTTGACTCGAGCTCGGTTTGACTTGTTTACAGCTCTACTGTATAGAGAGAGAGAGAGAGAGAGAGAGAGAGAGAGAGAGAGAGAATCAAATACCAGAGACAGAATCAATGAACTGGCCATTGATGAAGAGCTTGGCGAACTTGATTTCAGGAGTCTTGAGCTTGGAAACTCCATTACTCTCAGAAGCCATGAAAATAGAGAGATTTAAAATTATTAAAACAAACCTTCTAATTCTAATTAATTTCTCTCTTCCTCTATGTTCTTCTCCTCTTCAATACTGCCGATGGCTTTTATAAGGCAAGCACAGGCTTATGTAATTCAATTTTATAATATTTTACGAGAAAAATGATTATTGCAAATGATAATTAATGAGCCAATTTTCCTCAGGATAGAAAATGACATATTAACATTTCACTTGGCGATTATTTTCGTTTCAAAATATAAAATAATATAGTGGAAATAAAAAATATTTATTTATTTATTTATTTTTATGTGACAAAACAAAAGGACAAAACAAAAGGAAACGAATTTACATGTTTGGTTATTATTCTATGATAAGATTCATATTGCGATGATTGAATAAGAAACAAATTGATTTGTTTGTTTGTTTGCTTTGTTTTAATCCTAATATATCATAAAAAAAAATCATCTTGATCGAGCACGAATCTCAAAGCAAAATTAAGTAGGAAATTTCAAAAATTAAATCAGAGATCATATGAACTTTGATTTCAGCAAACTTACAGTTGAACTGAACGTCTTTGAAAATACTAACCTAACGACACCAAATTCGACTTAATCCAAGCCCAAATGGATCCAAATCAAAGACCCGAAGAACATTTGGAAGGCTCAAATCATAATTTAGATTACCAAATGATTTCCAAACGTGACATGCTTATAGTCGAATTGAGCGGCTCGACGAGACGAATCCAAACGAGTCCATGATCATCAAATTCTTATATCATTAAGACATTCAAATTCTCAATAAACGGCCCACGATCAAGGGATTCAGCATCGGCAGTCCATTCAAAGCACTCATAATTTACTTTTGATATTCTTTATAAGTACTGGTCATGCTACTCTCAGAAAACTATAAATAGACCCCAAGGGGGTGGGGGGAGAAAGGGAGCCAAGGAAGAAGAGAAGGAAGAGTTCTCTTGCCACTAGACTCATCCTCGATTACTGCCGGACTTCTGCCCATCGTCGGATTTCTACCCGATATCGAGCTTCCACCCGTCGTTGGATTTCTACCCGACGTTGTACTTCCGCCCGTCGCCGGACTTCTGCCCGTCCCCGGACTTCCACTCTTTGTCAGACTTCTACTTTTTGCCGGACTTTCATTAGACTTTTACTCGACGCCGGACTTCAGCTCGTTGTCGGATTTCTATCTGATGTCGGACTTCCGCTTGTCGTCAGACTTTTGTTGGACTTCCACTTGATGTCAGACTTCCACCCATCACTGAATTTCTACCCGACGTCGGACTTCCGCCCGTTGCCGGAATTATGTCCATCACCAAAATTTTGTCTGACTTCTACCCGATGTTGTACTTCTGTCAGTCGCTAGACAATGTTCTTTTCTGACCACAGTCGCTGCCAACTACGGTCTCTCCGACCAACATCATCAGACTATGGTCTTTCTGACCTCCGTCACCCACCAACTATGGTCTTGCCGACCAAACGAACATATCAATATCGATTCATCCAATTTTCATCGTTAATGCATTATATATTATGTATATTTGTTACATAAAACGTTGTAGCCATCCCAAACAAACTCTTATTGAATCTTCATGATAAGGTTTGTTTGGGACAACTTTTTCACTGCTTTGCTTCATAGACTGCAACTAAATTCTATTTGGCTACTTTGTTCTTGTTGCTTTCTAGCCTTTTTTTAGAATTTTTTGTGGTTGGAAATCACTTTTTACAATCAGAATTGTTAATATGTGGTGACTTTAAAAAGTAGCTATTCTATTATTTGAAAAAGAATATATTTATAATATATACAACAACAAAAAAAAAAGTTATTTTTACCACACAACTAGCTTTATAAAACTGCATCCATTCCAAAAAAAGTCCATAATCTATCATATTAAACAGGCCAAAAGCAGCTACTCAATTAAATTTTTTTTTTTAATATTATTATTCCAATTTGAAGGACGGCTAACTTTGGCAATTAAATATCAAAATTTGGAAGAAAAAAAATTGAGTCCAGTTATCAAAATTTAAATTTCATTGAGATAAATGTTCTATCTATTAAATTTAATTCGAGATTTATGCAAAAAATGAATAATTAATTAGGCAAATATTATATTTATCTCATAACAAACTTATATATTACCATACTTCAAAACTAATAAGCAAAACATTGAATAAATTCATATATTGATAGGTACTTAATTTATGAATATGAGTACTATTATATATTATATGTGACTTATTATTAATTTATTTTTTAAATAAAGCATCAACATAATTAATTAATTATTCCAAAAAAAAAAAAAAGACTTAAACTCTTAGGGGTTTGTTTGGCAAAAATATGATTTAACTTGAGTAGGATTCACTAAATCCTGTAAATTCAAATTAAGTAAATCCTGAAAATTATTTGGTAATATAAGGGTTAAATCTTGTTAAAACCTTTGAAGCTCTTCGACAATGGAATCAGATTTAAGGCGATTATTTGTAACTTGACAATCGAAGCCAGGTTCCACAGTCTGCTCTCCCGTGCCCTGAAATCTTAAATCCGCCAAACTGCAAGATATAGTAAATCCGAGATTTACCGCTAAAAAGACGAGACAGGATTTATTCCGCCGTAACTTACAACGGTGCCATAAATCCTGTTTGACAGGAGTTAGCATAAATCTTGCTCAAACCAGACATAAATCTCGTTGCCAAACAACCACTTAATAATGTTGAATATAATAATGAGTGTTCTTGATTTTGTGTCTAAGAATAAAAATCATTTAGCTTAAAAAGTCATAGTTGATAAAACCAAACCCTCTAAAGAATCATATAAACATCAATCAATTATTAGTGTTCAATCATCTTTCTTTGACTAAGAACCTAAGTCTATATAATTCTAAAAAGTAGCTCTATAATTTATTGGTAAAACCTTATAGATGATAGAGACATAATGATAAATTATTACTTCAATCACCTTATAATGAAGAAACACCATTCATATCTCTACCACCACAAGAAAGAAATGAGATATTATAACTTAAGCTCATGATATTAAGGAGCTTTAATCCATTTATGAAAGCAAACATTTTAAAGCCAAGGAGAACCATAAATTGGAGTAATCACAGTCTTCTCTTGAAGATATTTCTCCAATGCATGTAATCCTAAATCTCTACCAAATCCGCTCATTTTGTAGCCGCCATACGGACAATCTTGATCAAAAACGGTGTAGCAATTTATCCATATGATGCCGGCTCGAATCGATCTTGAAACTCTATTTGCTATGTTCAAATCATTAGTGATAATTCCAGCAGCTAACCCATAAATGGTGTTGTTTGCTTTCTCAATCACCTCCTCAATTGTCCTAATTCAATTCAAGGAGTAGATAAAAACCATCAATTAGCTTTATTTGTATAAATTATTTGATTTAAATCATTTCATATGATAAGATACAATACTTACTTGAACTTCATGAGAGACATCACTGGCCCAAATATCTCATCTCTAGCTATCACCATGTCCTCCTGTTTCAGTATCAAATTCAAGTATATGAACTATTAGAAGATCTATGAAATAGAGAAATTATTACGTGCGGACTGAACCGTCCAGATTTGCTACGTATTTACTGAGTATTTGCTATGTATTTGCAAATACTCAATTGTGAGTATTACTAAGTATTTTTTAAGTATTTTGTGATTATTTGGTGATTTACTGTGTAATTGTTGAGTATTAAATATGCAGCAATCAGGACGGTTCTTCCCGTCGGGACTCCGCAAGCTTCTTACTTGTAAGGCACTTTACCTTAACATCTGTAAATATTGTTGGCTCAATGAAGTACCCGTTCTTGCCGCAGGGCTTTCCACCAGTCAGAAGGGTTGCACCATCTCTCTTACCATACTCGATGTATTGAAGAATCTTCTCAAATTGTTTCTTATCAACCTAATACACAATCAAACAATGAAATCTTGTAAAAATAGCTGAAGTTTTGTTCAAGAAAGAAGATGAAAAATCCTACAACTGATCACCTGAGGTCCTTGATTAACATTTGAATCAAAAGGGTCCCCAACCACCCAATCCTTAAGACTTTCAGTAATCTTCTTGATGAATTCATCATAAATTCCTTCATGAACAAAAACCCGAGACCCCGCGATACAAATTTCTCCCTGATGAATCGATGATGACAGAAATTTCCATAACAACAAGAATATATCATCAACACGAGCTCAAAAACTATCCAAATACTTGGAATTTTGAGGAATAATATATATACCTTGTTATAGAATATGGCTTGCTTGGCAACATTAATAGCCATATTGACATCTGCATCATTGAAGATAATCAATGGAGATTTACCACCTAGCTCAAGAGAAACAGGCTTGAGATTGCTTCTTGCAGATGCTTCCATAATTAGGCGCCCTACTTCTGTAGATCCTGTAAAACTTATCTGCAACAATATCATACAAATTAAGAAGATAAGAACAAACCAAAATCATATATGAAAGAACAGAAGTATGCTTCTCCAACCACCAACAAAAACAACAACATCAAGCCTTTGTCACACTATGTGAGGTCGGCTACATGAATATTTTTTCTCCATTGTATCATGTTAAAAGTCAAATTCTTGTTTAAATCTAATAAAGAAATATCATTTCTAATATTTTCTAACAAAGCCTTTTTAGGTCTACCTCTACCTTTCTTAACATAAGTCAAATCTAATACCTCTACTTTTTTAACCGAGTCATCGGAAGGCTGCCGTTTTATGTGACCAAACCATCTAAGGCGACTCTCTCTAATCTTATCTTCCACTGGCGCTACTCCAACCTTTTCACTTATATGCTCATTTCATATCCTATCTCAAAAGGTTAAGCCACTTATTCACCTGAGCATCCTCATCTATGCAACACTAAACTTAGTATTATGATTCTCTTTTAATAGCCAACATTCGGCACCATAAAGCATTGCGGGTCTCACCACCATATTATAGACTTTTCCCTTAAGTTATAGGGGCACTTTTCTATCACACAACAAGTCCGATGCATTCCTCTACTTCAACCATCCAACTTGAATTCTACTGATAATATACCAATCTATTTCATCATCACTTTGAACAATAGATCCAAATATCTAAAACGTGTACTCTTATTAATGACTTGATCGCCCAAAGTCACAATCCCAAGATATCTAAAAAGTATGCTTCTCCAACCGATAAGTGTAAAATCTTCATAACATTTGGATGGCCAAAATTGCACAGAAATTTTGGTTGATCAACCAACATTCTTGTTCGACCAACAGTGATTTCAATTCAATCTTGGCCGATCAAGGTTTTAATCCTGTGGGTTTGAGGAGCAACTTTGTTGTAAACATACAAGAAGTTAGAACATAAAGAACAGCAAAGAGGACTTAACGGCGTCGACATTCATGTGAGAACAAAGTGCAGCACCAGCAGTTGATCCAAAACCTGTGACAACATTGAGAACTCCATCAGGTATGCCAGCCTGCAGAGAAGAAATCAAGTTAGTATGTCAGCTACTATTAACTTGAAAGGAACATTATAACTCAGTTTTTGGAGAAATTATTCTGTGTGGAGTCGGAACGCAGCTCTACGTTCGGAGAGCAATCAGAATATGCGCTACCGAGCCGCGGTATCGAGTGGTACCGAGCAGTACCGAGCCGCAGTATCGAACGGGGTGATGCGGCGCATTCTGGTTGGTCTCCGAACAGCGTTCGACGTCCGCAAGGATATAGAACATCAAACATTTGCTAATCTATGTTATTTTATGCTTTGAAAAGGCTATTATGCAATGAAAAACTGTGTAATCTTTCCAGGTTTTCATCAAAACATTATTAATTTTCTTTAACATTCACCCTTATGTTTCATGCTTCTATTTGCATTAACTTTTGGCTATCTCCCAACAATTGTAACAACTCAAAGGCAACATATCTCATACAACAAACAACAACAACAACAAAATAACAATGAAAAACAGTCACCTCCTTAGCCAAATTTGCATAATAAAGAGCAGTAAGGGGCGTCTGCTCGGCAGGCTTGACAATCATGGTGCAACCAGCGGCCAAAGCCGGCGCAACTTTTGCGAAGAACATTATAGATGGAAAATTCCAAGGGATAATATGCCCAACCACACCTATGGGCTCCTTCAATGTGTACCCTTGAAACTCTCCAGAACACTTCATCGTCTCCCCATGAATTTTATCAGCTGCACCAGCATAATATCGAACCGAGTTAGCGGCACCCGGAATATCCATGACTTTGTTGTGATGAAATAGTTTTCCTGAATCTAAGGACTCCAAAATGGCCAGTTCTTCTTGATGTTCATCAATCAAATCTGCAAGCTTCATCATGATTCTTCCTCTTGCCTGTTGAAAATACTATGAGTTATAAGAAGAAGATGATTGAATGTAAATTGATTTGGTTTTTCATTTGGAGGAGAAAGAGAGAAGGATGAATTATTCTGTCCGGATGTCGAACGCAGTCCAATGAAAATACGCCATGTCACCCCATACTCGGTATTGCAGCTCGGTACTGGGTGACGTGGTTGCACCTGATTCGTCCACTGGACGGTAAGTTGTGTCCGGTGTCAGCACAGAATAATCTTAAGGAAGAGGATGAGATAACATACAAAGCCAGATTTTCGAGGCCATTTTCCATAGTCGAAGGCTTCTCTTGCAGCTTTGACAGCTAAATCTACATCTTGTTTGTCACCTTCTGCTACTTTTGCAATCACTTCTCCTGTTCTTGGATCTCTCGTCTCAAATGTTTTTCCTGTAAAATTATTGATTTTCTTGCGTTAGCGGTCAGTTTCTATTTGAAAGTAATTGACAGCTTTCTAATGCTGTGTTTGAGAATTTTTTTTTTTTTTAAATGTAACTTTACTTAATTTTCTCATTATTTTAAAGAAATTTTTTTATGAGAATACATTTTTTTAATTGATCTGACCCAAATCTAGTTAACTAGAACTCGATCCGATTAATAAACAGGCCAAAAAATTGACCCTAACTCGACCTGCTGGCAACTGACATGAAATTAAGGCTTCGTTTGAGACGGCTTTATTACAGCTTCTTTAAGCAGTATTTTAGATTTTTTATACTAAAAAACTGCTTCAAGAAGCCGTAAAAAACCCGTTCCAAATATGTTTAGCATGATAGTTGTACGAAACTTATTGATCTATATTTTCTTGAGTTTAAGAACTCCGCTTTTCAAACAAATAGTTCACAATTAATTTTACAAATGACTTTTAAGCTTCATTTGGGATGACTTTTTTACTGCCTTCTAAAGGAACAATTATTACGTCCCAAAACCCGTCCCAAATATGTTTAGCATGATAGTTGTACGAAACTTATTGATCTATATTTTCTTGAGTTTAAGAACTCCGCTTTTCAAACAAATAGTTCACAATTAATTTTACAAATGACTTTTAAGCTTCATTTGGGATGACTTTTTTACTGCCTTCTAAAGGAACAATTATTACGTCCCCCGACCGGATGCAGAGAAACATCCGGTCGCAGGCAAAATCCCGCTATACCGAGGTGTACCGAGTTTTTTTCGAAAAACTCGGTACACCTCGGTATAGCGAGATTTTGCCTGCGACCGAATGTTTCTCTCATGTTTGTTATTACTTCTA